AGAAGAGAGAGAGAGAGAGAGAGAAAGAGAGAGAGAGAGGGAGGGAGAGAGAAAGAGAGAGAGAGTATGTGTGTGTGTGTGTGTGTGTGTGTGATACCAGGCTAAAATTAGTGGCGGTCATTTCATCAGCCTTGCAAGCTGTTGAATGGTGTAATCTCAGCACAAGTTGCTATGCCTAACATAGCTGTTCGCTATCATTGCTTCCGCGATGGGCATGTGTGTGTGTGTGTGTGTGTGTGTGTGGTGTGTGTGTGTGTGTGTGTGTGTGTGTGTGTGTGTGTGTGTGTGTGTGCATGCACGCGTGTGTGAGAGAGCAAACAAGCATAACTACACGAATGCATCTGGATTAGGAATAGTCCGACAGTACACGCCATGATTTGTCATCAATTGAAACCCCATTCCTGTCCTTGGACCAGACATACAGCTTCCACCACCCTCTAGTACAACCATCATGGCCATGGCCATGGTATTTCACCGGTCCTCTTGCTGCAGCGTAACAAGAGACATTGAACTTTCCCCGTGAAATTCACACCAGCGCTGCACAGCCTGTACACAAATGCTTGTGACACGCATCGGGCAGAGGGCTCCATGCAGGCCAGCCATTGCTGCAAGCTGACCGACTATTCACTGAATGAATCCGGACATGCACTGCATACCTCAACATCATCGGGACTCATCTTGGTTCCCAGCGAAGCGACAAATATGTCGTCAATGTCCACGAGAAATCGGCGAGCGAGTGGCAGTCCCAGGGTGGCCGGAGACAGATGGCTAACAGCATCCAGGAACAAGGCCTTGTGCAGCCAGAGGTACATGCCCGGGTGCTGGCAGAAGAGCACACGACGAATGCCGTCCACACGCCCAGTGTCCAGCAAGGAGATGCGCCACTCGGTGCTATCGGCGCCATCCGGCAGCCTGGCGTACTCCACTGGATCAAAGGCGGACGTGTTGCCCTCAAACGCACACCAGTCGCCACCAGACACGCTGGTCAGCATCTCGCCGCCATCGCGGACAATCCGCAGCATTGGCGAGCGGCCGTTCACTCTCAACACCATGCTGACGTTCCGCGTGGTATCCACCAGCGGGCGCACGGTGACCTGCTTGAAAACAAACGGGTAGGCAGGCGACACGAACGCCACCATGCCAACACCGTAGAGGCGGCAGTACGAATCCAGATCCTCCCGTTTCGCATCCGGCGCGTCAGTGTACAGCGACCAGTTCTCGAATATAATCACACTGTACCGTCCCTGCGGCTCTGCGCCCATGCTGGGTGCCTGTGGAAAGAACGAATCCGGACTGGCGCTGCCGCGGCCGATTTCAAAGCGTATGCGATGCTTGCCGAGGAGCTCGCGCATATCGGCCAGCGAGAGAGAGAAGAACGGCTCTTTGCACAGGACCAGCAGGGCGATTGGCTCCACACCAACGCCAACGGTCATGCCCCGCACAATGTCACTGCCAAACCGGTCGCGTTCTGCCGTTTTCTTGGTCGCCCGAGGTAGCGTGCCCGGCAAGCGACGTGACGGTAGACGCACAGTGTGAACAGGGGATTTACCTCGTTCATTATGCGGATCGGGTTGAAACGCCACGTCTCGCTGGATGTGCTTCAGGCTCGTTGACAGGTAAAAGGCCAGGTTTGTGGATGACCTGTATCAAGGGCTTCTGATCATCACTGGGCATGCCGCGTGGACCACCACCACCAGGCCAGTCTGCATTACCATCTTGCACACGGCGGCCTACCTGCACACCACCCCGGCTGTCGACGTCCTGCCCGAACCAATCTTCAGTCGTGTGCACTGACTCTGCAGAGACGCTGGTCAAGGCTCCCTGTGAAGATCGCAAGTTGTTTTTAGATCCTGGATTACGGCCATCGGCACGCCGTCCCGCCGTGCCATGCTTGTCCAGCAGAACATGCGAAAAGAATATCCAGGCGGCTGCGAGAGCAGCTACGGTCAAAATGCGCTTCACCGTCTGCTTTCTGCATAGCAAAACTCGAATGGTAGTATCGAACGTTCGTGCCAAAATGCTCATGGTCCCGCTGCCGCCATTCTCACACTAAACCAGCGCCAAGGTCCACTTGAGACTCCATCGAGGAAGGTGTCGCACCGGTGGTATTATGACTCTGAGCAGGAGCTGAAATTATTATTTGTGACTGCGTTCTCATCTGACTCAGGGCACTAGTGCAGTTATGTACACCCCTGGCCCTAGCGATAGCAAATACGTTCACAATGAATTACAATAACGATCTTGTCATTGACGGTCGACCGGTCTCTGCAGATCACAGCTCAGAATCATAGTAGGTCAAACGTCGCGAAATATTACTCAGCAACAACTACTACTAGTACTAGAAATAACTGTTACTTAGAGGACTTCTAATACCAGTACTAACAATCGCCAATGACTATTTTTATTGTAGCCAAGTATTGAAGTAAGAAGTCGCATACGTATATTACGGTATAATACATCCGCATCAGAAAAACAACGAGTGTAGCATTCTCGATTACTG